TCTTCTTTTGTCCAAACTGTAAATAATGTGACTTTTTACAGCAAAACAAATACAATTCATCAAATTCATTTAAGTTTTTAATGTATTTCAAAAGCATTTTGTCGAATCAGTGTAGAATTATCAATCATGTTGCATTTTTATGAAGAGAAGGAATTTGCACAATGGATTCTCGCACCCCAACCACTGGGAGTAATTATATACTCGATGAAAGTCAGATTACTTAAAGTAGAGCATTTGAATGAAGGTGAGTTCCTTTACCATTCAGTTTTAGTTTGTTTCGTTTCTTTTTCTCACATTCATTTTGCACAACTGTTTCAGTATTTAGCCAGATTATTAAACGAGAGCTGACCAGCACATAGTGATTGTTTTGTTTGTGTGTTGCACAACAATGTCAAGTGAATATGTTAAATAAAGCATTTACGAGATTCTTGAAAGTTTAACGTCTCTGAGTTGTTGTCGGTTGACCATTGAATACTCACCTTCATCATTGTAATAATATTTGAATGGTTATGATCTTCGAATCCAGGCGCTTTCTGTAAAAGCTGACCAATGAACGACCATGAACAGTCTGCTAGTACAAGATACTTTACTCGAACAATAATAATTAGAACATCAGAGTTGTATAAATTCATTTCGGTCAGTTATCAGAATTAATGAATAACAGAATCTCATAAAATGATTTGTATAGGTATTTTCAGATGCATATTAGAAATCTCTAACCCAGTCTTAAGCTCCTAGAACAGATGATACGGATGTGAAATATTCTTCTCCGTTGTTTGGATTGAATCTTTCTTCATATCGTTGAAATGATAATACTTATTGAAACTTCTTCTTAAGGGATTAGTGAGCATTTATCTACATCGGTTCATTTAAGTCTCAAAATGAAGGTGATTACTTGTATTCAAAGGCAGTCCGTTTTATAATATACAATTATCAAAGGAGATAGATATTCATTATGCAGATATTTCAACATCCATTTTGATTTTCATTATTTCAGAGGAATTACTTGCTATCAGATGGTTTATTAGAAGCCAGGAAAATATTGCTCCAGGTAAGTCAACATTGAATGATCGTTCTATCATATGTGAAATATAAACATTTACATCTTCACTCATTGTGAATACTTACAGCCTGTGTGATCCGATTCTCTCCAAAAACTGAAAAATTAAGAATTTATGCCTTTTCTTGGAAAAAGAGCAGAATCATGTGTGAATCCTTTCACTGTTTAGTTACAGTTGGAATGAACTGAAAAAGGCTAGATTTGATAAGTAATAAATTGATCAACACGAATGCTTTAAGTGCTTATCTCATTTTACTTGTGAGAAAACGAATGCAGAGATTCATTCGGTTTACAGCCTTTAATGAAACTTGGTTAGTCTGTGTCCCGAAATGAGTGATTTGTGTTGTATGTTCATCAGAATGATATCACTGTACACAATAAATTCATCTACACCCTCATTCAGTTTATGATCATTCGTAAATATTATCCACTTAACTTAAGATATCTTTGAAGCGACATATATGAAGTGATTCGTTTTTCATCTACTACAAATCAACACTATCATCACAGTCATTTAGTCTATTGAAATGTTATCCAACCAATTGAGTTCACAAGTTCCGATCGTAAACAAACACTCCACATCTCATGTCATATGTACTAAGGCTGGATACCTCTCCGATTATCAGATTTAAATGTATAACTTGACGATTAATTGTTTCAATAATAATACCGCTTGACAAACTGAGCGTTTGACATTCATTTTGAACGATGAATGCTTGTTTTATTTACATGACGTTCATTCACTTGAAAATAATTATTTCGAATTCAAGTGAAGAAAGTATTTGAGATGACACAGTGAATATCCACTGAAATAAGATCATTTTGTGAGTTGGCATAGACAGTGTTACATCAAACAATAACGTGCTTATTTTTAATCTTTTGAGGCCTACGTGTACATTATCTTCCCATTGTAGCGGTTGACGGCAGTGTAATCAATCTCATGTATCCGAATGGAAAGATATCTATGTATTATGAGAACGTAAGTTGAACAATTTAATGGAAATGTAATTTTATTTCACGTATTTTAGATCGTTCTAACATTTCAAATTAATCAGTACTGTCGAATGTATCAAGTTACATGGAACACGATAGAAAGTGATCAACATTTTGTAATGTGCAATTAGACTGTTTGACACTACTACCAATGCTTTGATGACATACTTCAACCAAGCACTTGTTTAAAACACAGAATGATTAGGAGTGAATTGCATTCAAAAGAAATGATGTGTTCATGCCGAATAGTAACAGACAGTGTATGCTATAGTACTGTACGGAAAGAACCGTATACTCTAAAGCTTTCTTACATCTTCTGATGATCGACTATTCGGAGTGTTTACTAATGAATATTCCAAGCGTCGAGTTCCTGCGGTCGTTTACAATCACATTTCATTTCAACTGACGTAGATATTCATCTCACATTTCACGATAGATAGATAGATAGATAGATAGTTCATCGACATTCACTGAAATTGACGACTGGAGTGATTCAAAACATCTTTGTACATCAGTTGGGACATACATCATAAAAAATTTGGGAATACCAGTAAGCTTAATGTAAGTGTAATTAGTTGTCTGTAAATAAGTTAACGTGAATGATGACAGATTACTTCAAAGAATACTTGGTTTTTATATAATGAGTTGTGCGTTGACATATCTTGACTTGAACTTCAAATACTTTTTTCCAGATTCCTACACAATTTGAGCAACATAACAGTGGAGGAGAAATGTTCCGTCAATTCCAGTGTGAAAGGCGTAAGAAACATTTCAACTAATGTTGTTAACATTTTAATGTACAGTGAAGTTCATCACCAAATATCTATTTGCTAAGACTCACTCAACCGGTTTCATTGTGTGAAATAATTAAGCTTATGGTTACCTATTGACTAACAAGGACTGTTATGTATGAATGACGGTATTATTCAGACGACATTTGCACCCACGTATTCACTCACAAACAGTACGACAGTCACATATGCAGTCCTTAGTTATATCATTCTTCAATGCAAAAGCAAGTGTGTTTTGTATGAGACAGACATAAACGAGTGGTTTATATTTTCTTTATAAAATGCGCAATCAACATGATTCACTGAAATGATCATGCGTTAATGAAAGATATAGCTGAGTTTAAACACAAGTTTTGAATGCAGGTGATAATCCGGTGTACAGTGTTTAATTATTGAATGTGAGAAACTGCACCAAACGTTAGGTCAAGTGATACATGTTGCTTGTTTGAAATGCATTAGTGAATCTTTAAAGATTGAAGATAACTATCATATTTGTATTGTTTGTTTGAAACACCCGATCGATATTTTGGACTGCAACTGATCAGTCTGTTATAGTAATACATATGCATCCTTCAAAGATTTTCTGGATGTTGCCTTAAGTCACAAGCTTTTTGGGCAAAACTGTATAGTGCATAGCAGTGGAAACAATTGCAGTCCGAAACATCAATGGGAAGATTCAGTAATCGATACGAAGATGAGACAAAACATTACCCAATTGTACAAGTTATTGTGTATCTGAGATGACAAGCCTAACGTGTATAACGGGACGACATTTGAAGTGCCTAGTGCTGGGTTCCAGTCTGAGAGTGAACATTAATTCTTAGATGCAGGAACATCCAGCTGAGAAGTCCTAAATTAGACGAAGCGTACGCCTTGAACTGCACTGCTAGTCATCATTCCTCATTGGTTTGTAACTTTCTATGTTGCTTATTTACAATTTAAAATGTAAAATGTTGATTGTATTAATTTCTCCGCAAAATAACACAGAACATTTATCGATTTTATTTTTTGACTTACTGGTTGAACATCTATCAGTTTTGAAACTCAGATTGTGGTACAACATAATATTTGGAGATGTAAGATGATCTCCACATTAACCTTTATGGCAAATGTTTAGGTTTCATGTTTTTATCGCAAATTAGATTATGCAAACAACTTGTTACACATAAAAAACAAATCAAAATTCTAAATGTCTTCTTTCGTTCAATTTATCGAAAAAAAGCTGTTTTACATCAAATACTTATCCCTCAAAAATGGGCGAAAACTGGATCGTTGGTGGAGTTTGAAGTTATCGGAAGTATGTTAAACCTTATCTAATAAGCATTATCTATTTACACACTTGATGATTTGACTATTGTTTAATCAACTTGACAATTTTATGTGTATTTGTGGTCAGCTATTACATTGTGTACAGGTAACCGTGTCAATCGACGTTTCAATTACCACTAATATTTACACGCCGTTTCATGAATGAATGATGATGCATGGATGCGGAAGTGTCTGTTGTTTTCACTCAATATGTGTAATATCAAATTTAACTTAAGTATTGAGTTCGAAGGAACACTCCACGTGCTTGTCATTACTGTAAAAACAATATAAAACAATATAAATTTCACTGTTTGGTCACACTTATCCGATACATTGAAGGTATAGTTAGAGGACGGCAGCAAATTACAATGTATCATAGCTAGTTTCAGAATTAATTTCACAGTGTGAAAATGCATTCCTTCTCATGAATATGTAAATTGAGTAACTACAAACAGATTTCAGTCCACCAATGTGTTAGTGTTAAAATGACATTTCGACTACTGAGAGAATCATTCCACTATCCAATGATCAAAGAAAATCCAGTTTTTGTTGAATATAATACGGCCATATACTTCAAGAAAATCGTCACTTTTTCCATGTCTGTCAATTGAATCAACACAATTGAAAATGAATTTTCATTCTGACAACATCTGACTTTATTTCACCAATATCAAATATAAAAAAAACTATAAAACCATCAAAAATCAAATGCACTGCGCATTGATAACTCAATGACCACATCGTGTGTACATGTCTGAAGGTGAACAGACATTGAAAAACAGTAAAATTCACTTGTCAAAATTCATCCATCATACATGACATTCCAAGCAGTTTCATTCAATTCAAACATGCTGTTGTAAAATGTGAGTGAATGTGAAAGTGTACTAATAATTGCATTATGCAATGTGATGACTGTTTTCCAGTGAATGAAATAGTCACTTAACTCCAAAATCACCATCGCATTATTACATTATTGATACATGTTTACAATTTACGTATCTTTTGTTCCATAAATTGAAATGAAATAATTGTGATTCACCAATCATTTGTTTTATAAATTGAAATGAAATTACACTATTCTTTTCACAGCATATTGTCCGAAATACAAAACACCCGAAACATGCAAAAATGCAGCAACAATGAATGAAAAATGCTTCTGGTGTGGAAAGGTTAACAAATGCATTGAAAGTAACGATCACGAAACTCATGACTTAAAAGTTAATGATTGCCGTGTCGAGGTAACTACTTGTTAAACTTATCAGGTTGTTTTCAATGTCACCAAGTTCCATATTGCGAGTAAATACACTTACTCAAAAGAATATTTTGTTGCTATCAATAAGAACTGACGTGTATTCTACCCTGAGTGAATAAACTACAGCTTTCTATACAGTGACCTTTCTAATCAGATACAAGTAGAATGCATTATTGTTGTAATCCTGAACAAGGATTTCTGATTCTCTATTGAGAACCTGGATAGATTGCTTCAATAAAGCTGTTAATGTTTAGTTTATTGATTTATATTTGAATGGTGATTAGATGTGATATCCAGAATACAAATTTCATCACACAAACGAGTCGTCAATTAGTTGTTGAATGATGTGTACTCATCACTCTGATTGCCCAATTGGTACCACGTGTTCAAATGATTGTACAAATGCGAATTGTGAATAACTAATTGTGGAATCCTCTTCTGTCATCACTACTGACAACATTGTATAATGAATAATTTGATGTTATTAAATGAATGTTACTGTTTTAATTATTCAGAAGATCTCCGAGGTTAATGAATTGAGTACACCAACACCCACTATTTTAATTGAAAGCACTTTGATGAGCTCCGAAGTTCAGTTAACTGAAAACCTCAATGAAACTACCGAGGGAGGCGATCAACACTCGGTAAATATTTATTATTTGGTAACTAATGCTGCATTTTTTGTTTTTCTTCAGAATGTCACAGTTGAAATAGGCAGAGTGGAAAGTCAGAGCAAATCATCTGTCTACTTATATATCGTGATACCATTATTCGTATCATTATTTATTGTGTGTATCTGTGGTATTGTTTGGAGATACTTCTATTTAAAAAGAAGAAGCAATGAATGATTCATAGAAGCATCTCATAACTCATTTGAAATATTCTGACACGGTTTTTTCTATTTGCTGTTTCATTTGTAAACCTTAGATTTCATTATTCGTTTCTATAATTTGTTGAATTTCTTCATGGAATTCTGATAGTTGATTATGTGATAACCGATGCACTTTTATTGATTAAATAATGAACTCAGTTTTTATGAATTACGTCATTGTTTTCATTCAACTGAACCAACTGACTTTTTTATAAGAGCTTCACAATATTTATTTTGAAGTTTAGTAGTTTTGTGTATTCGTGATTTTGTGACAACTGCAATCAACAATGAGTCCATTGTGAATGTTTATTCTGATGAATTCTCATCACTAGGAAATATCACTTCGTATTAACAACGGTGAATGTTATAAAGTGAGTCGTCGAAGTATCTTATCAAGACAAAATTAGGAACTTCGGTTGTTGGTCACTTGATTATTCATTGCTCAATATATTCTGAGTGACAAGCTATTTTAACTCAGTGTCATCAAGACTAATTGTGTTTTCTTCCGTTATTTTATTATTGACACGGCCAGCATACGGTCACTTGTTTCACTCAAAGCTTAGTCTTTGGAAAGGTCTAAACTAGAGTTGTCTTTATCAGGTTCATCCAAGATTCCGATGCTCTGATTTAAGAATTGATATGTGCATTCAAAAAGTGATGTAGAGGGATGAGCAGTCAGTGTTGCACATTGAATTTCAATTTTACGGGACACGTATACTCCACAGTTGATGCTGGAGTTGTTTTCAGTTAAGTTCATTATTCTGAAGTGTGCTGTGAATCGCATTTCAAGGACGTTTGTCTACAGACCTCTGAAGATAAATTTTTAACAGTTTTAACAATGATTGACAGTCTTTGTGACCTATTGAAGCACAACTACTTACTGCTTGGTTTGCGTCGTTCATCAACCGTATTTCAGGAAAGGACATAAACCTCAGTCAGTGAACTAAGAAGTGTTAAGGCCTTTGTATCCCTCATGAAATATCGTTTGTTCAGAGACATACATCTGTCTTACATTATCTGGTTAAGAAAATTATGTCGTAATTCTAAGTGGGTGATCATTGGATGTATTTGGTTTCGAAAGGCTAGATCAACACTTGACGTTTATCATTTTGAAATTGACATACAGCGACTAGCTTTACTTATAAATTAGCCTCCTGACAAAGCTCTCAAAGACTTACACTACAGTAGACGCTCTTCAGCATCGTTAACGTTTTGTTTCCGATTTCCTCTAACGTGACAGTTGTATTTTTAATTTCAACATCAAACTCTTTTTTATGAAGTGCCGAACAAGAGTCTTCATTTATAAATTCGCCAAAAAATTTGCCAAAGCGATGGTGTACATTCAACTTACTCCCCTTCTGTAGATTTTGTACTTACTACCTTGGATGTTGTTATGGTTCCGCGGGATTGAAAAATACCTTAGATGTATAAAAAAGGGCATCACTTAATGTTGAAAGTCTAATCTGAAACGTGAAATTCCGGACTATTTTGTCAAGTGTCATTGATTATCCACAGGTGATGATGGCATTTTGGCTCAAACGATTATGCCGTTATTCATACTTTGTTATATAAATTCGTTTTTGGCAATCCCCATAGAGAACATTTAGTGTTGGAACAATTGCACCTTTGATAAGGCTGACATCTTGGCGATCAGAGATACATTCAAGCATGTATTACACAGTGAACACTTGTGGAAGATATTATTAGCCAAAAAGCCATACTTCAAAATGAACTAGATAGTCTGTGTCATCTGAAGCCACTATTTGTGATTATCACACACCAGCACCCACAGCGAGTTCACATAGAATAGTAGAGAACCGAATGTCATCGACACATATGTCTCAGATATCTCTAGGTATGAAATGATGTATAATTCTTACCAAACATTGGTGCACTATAACCGTCAACTACCTGTCAGGAACAGTTAATCTTAAGTGAAGTTAATCTTTTCACATATTGTAATAATATCATTTTGACTGTCGATTAATCGCTTGCATAACAATGACTGCCATTGACAAATGTAAATATAAGGAGTAAGCAAAACGGAAATGAATACCAGTCAAAGGAAATTATTCGTGCAGTTTACTTAAAGCAGGTGTATACAACTAGTTTGAGTTTATTGTGACCCATCAGGTGTTGACAAATTCGAGTCCTTGCATAGTAGATTTTTGAAAATTTACAGGAATCAGAATTCGAAGTTGAGTGAATCAAACGTAGACCGAAAATTATTTGGTTCAGAAAACAGTGTTCAAATGGTTATAAGTTCTTCATGAAACGAAAATGAACTCTCCTACATTAGGTTTGACTACTCTTATCATCAAGAAGATTTCCGTTCATAGGAATGCTTTCACGTTATAATAATTTGCTATTATAGATGATCTCAATTATGTAAATGAAATACTAAAGTTCTTGGGAATGCGTGCATCATATATTCGCAATATAATGAACCAATTTTGTCCAGTGTAATTCATTTTATGGAATAGCAAGTAAGAAAAAAATATTCTGTAGGCTGAATAACATTTATAGTTAAATATTGAAGACAAATGGAGTTTTATAGTGAAAAACCAGATCCTTTGAAGTAGTTACATATAACTAATAAATTCTTGTATACATATGTATCGAGGAGTCCAACAAGGATTGATCGATTCAACAATTTGTCAGGTCATATATATCCACAAACAATAGGTGTCCTGTCAAAACCAACTGCATATATCCTATTTGACTGTAACAAAACACGTTTATTATAACCCTGATGTGAGCAGAGTAAATGGAAAGACTAGGCTAAACACAAGAATTCAATCCATCACACGATCAGACCTTCAATTATTCTATAAGTTATCTGCAAATTCGTAATGACATTCTTCCTCAGTTTGTCAATCATTTACGATAATGGGTCTCAGGTTATACAACGATTACTGCTGAAGTACAACGAGCGAACATTTATTCTGGCTATTGGTCAAATCAATGTGAACATTTCAATCCAACATACCGCGTATTTTCCATGAAAATCAATGGTTGTTCTAGCGTCATCTGATGTCTCATCCAAGTCACAATCTGTTCGCCTTCAAATTACATAAAATTGATAAAGATGTTTTAAGCTATTTCACACTGGATTCTTTCTCGTTCAACCATATAAAGTATGAATGCATACTCGCTGCAAAATTGAAATTTTACACTAGTAATCAAAGTCAGATGAAACAAATCGCTTCTCATGCATTTCAACAACTCATAATACACTTCATTAATTCCAGACACAAAATGGAAAATTCACGCGAACATTCTCCATTTTTATGACAACAAATTATCATCATCCAAAAATCATCAGCATTACTGTCAACAAAATAATGGTGTTATTAATAACAATAATCACCATTATTATTATCATTATTTTCATAACTTCAAACATTGTGATCAACATTATCAATAACTTTAAACATTATCATCAACATCCCAATCACTATAGTGATTATCATAAATATCATCTCACTGAATATCATCATCATCATCATCATTTCAATAGAGACGCAGTAGTCAAACGGAAAACGCGATGGCGTTTGAAGCTGACGCTACTGGGTTTGAGTCCCGGAGTAAACATCCACTTTGTGATGCAGATACTTCCAGATGATGAGTCTCAAATAGAACGAAACGCGCGTCCTCCATTCCACTGCCAATCACTGTACATCTTTTTGACTTAAGGCTGTACGAGGAGATCCGCACAGGATGCTCATAAGCCATTATGAGACTGACCATTTGCAGTCCTCAATAACAATGTGAAGATACAAGTAAAATAACACCATGTGAATTTAATACATAACTCGGTTGCACAAGCAGGTAGCTATCAAGACCCAGCAGCCAAATGGAGAACACGTTGGCATTTAAAGCGAACGGTACTGAGTTCGAGTCCCGGAGTGAACACCAACTGTGGATGCCAACCAACACTGATGAGTAGATAAACATAGAGTAGTCTTTTACTTTGTGATCGGTGTGTACTCAGTCCACCAATCCATATCTGATGAATCCCACTGAGCAGGATAACCATACGTTGAAATAGAAGTACACTTACGAAATATATTTGGATTAGAATGGCATAGAATTACGTAATAATTATTGATAGGAACTGAAATCATTTTAAATCCTTAAAAGAAGCGTAAAACATCAGGTAGAATAGAAGAATAAAATGTGAAATCAATTACGTAATAGAAAATATAGATTGATAGAGAAAATAAAGAATTGATGTGAAGCTATTCTCTGTAAGAAATATAAACATAATGTGACAAAATGTAAGTTAGATTGTCAACAGGGTTTATTTGATTGAACTGATATTTATCGAGGTAACGATGAAGATCATGTACAAATAATTCATAAATGAGTACATGAGTTCATATATGGAGTTTCTGCTGTCTGTATATGACGGTTTGTTTTAAGAAAACATTCAAATGACTACTGAATGAGCTACTTTTAAATTTGGAAGGATACCGAATTCAATGAACATTTTGCATCCAATTTCGATGCACAGTATTCAATAATGTGATGAATGCTACTTCAGGCTGTCGAAAGACGGAAATATAACAATAGGAATGAAGAAACTATGAGTCTTGTAAGAGACGACTCAAAGATGTGCAAATGATGTATTGGATGTATAATTTTCACATTTTAATAAATCACTATGTGATTTTGCAGTAAACAATAGACTGTTCTTCGCCACTTCACCTTCTTGTTCATTACGATATAACTGGCATAGAAATTTTAATCCATGAGAAATTCTCAATACACGTGAATGAGGAATATGGTTTTAGATTAACTGTCTTCAGTTTCTACAATCATATTGTCCAACTAAATCATTATCACCATCGAAACACAAGAAACATTTTGGAAACTCTAATCAGCATTCATCCTCTATTTACTAATTTGCACATTATTCGTACTATTATTTCACATATTACATAACTTCTGACCTGTGATAGCATAACCGTCTCTCACTTTATCTAATCCATATTGGTTTCTGATCATTAGCTTGATGATCGATGTTCCGGATAATTACATTCGACTATTTGCCAAATGTGTATTTGTGGTGAATATTAATTGTAGTTAGATATCGTGGTAAGGTGGAAGCGATCAGATTTTTCAGGACATCAAATACGTTTTGAAATGCCATTTGATATTGAGTTTCATGTTACGGATTCCATGATTGTATGCTAATTGAGTACCTTGGTAATACTCTCAATCACGTTTTCCACCAACACTGTTTGCGAATAATCAGCCATTCAGATCAGAATTTTCACTTGAATGTCGGTTGATTGATTTGTTGACGGATCAGTCTGTTTGTGGATGGACATTGAGTTAAATTATTCACTCAGAAACAGTAGTATGAAATGAACCCCCTGGCGGTAGGTCTGAACTGTGTGTTACAATTGCAAGTTATTCATTGTAAAGTATTTAGATATCATTGATTTGCATTGTATAACTCGTCAATAGCATTAGGACCAACACATATACCAAAACGGGTCAACGCTTTTAAAAACGAACCGAAGAAGCCTTAATCCTTCAGATAATGTCAACTCTTATTTTGTGTCTATCAGTGATGCTTCCTAAATATATAAAGGTTGTTGCATCTACCATGTCTTCTCCGTCAATTGTGATTGGATTGGTGCGTGTCGTGTAGTATCAGAGAATCTTGATTTTCCGTTTGTGTATATTGGGACATACTGCTACTGAGACTGCTGCTTTACTGGTCGTCTCTTGCATTTGTTGTCGTGTGCGATAGAAGAGCCGAATCATTTGCGAAGTCCAGATCGTTCAGCTACATCCTCGCTGTTCATTGTATCCCGTGCTTCTCCACAGATGTTGACATCTTCATGATCCACTCGATCATCAGGAGAAAGAGAAAGGGTGAAAGTAAACAGTCTTGACTTCACAGTCTTCACTTCACTACGGAAGAGCCTCTCAACTGACTTCCATGCACGATTCTGCACTGTAATCCATTATAGGAATTTCTTATGACATTAACAATAATGTGAGACACGCCGTGGTGTCGAAGAAGCCTCCAAAAGGTTGTCCTATCTATGCTATCAAATGCTTTCTCATAGTCAATGAATTTGATGTAGAGTGATGAATTCCATTGAACTTATTGATCCACAATGATCCGTAGAGTTGGGATTTGGTCTGAACACGATTAGTCTTTACGGAATTCAGCTTGTCGGTCTCGAAGTTTGGCGTCTACGGAGTCCTTCATTCTGTTTGACAACATCCAGTCGAAGACTTTTCCTGGTACTGAGAGAAGAGTGATGCTCCTGTAGTTATCACAGTTGCTGAGATCACCTTTCTTTGATATTTTGATCAGAAGTCCTTCTTTCCAGTCTTTTGGCACTTGCTATTCATCTCAATTCTTACTGAAGAGAGTGTGGGGTATCTTCGCGGTTACTGCTACGTCTGCTCACAGTGCTTCTGCTAGAATGTTGTCTGGTCCTGCTGCTTTGCTGCTCTCGATTTTTCAGGTGGCTATGCTGATCTCTTCAATTGTTGATGGACCAACATTGATTAGAAGGTCCGTGGGTGCTAATTCGATGTTGAATGGGTTCAGTGAAGCTGGTTGACTCAAGAGTTCTTTGAAGTGTTGTACCCACCTGTTTCGTTGTTCTTCAATGTTGATGATTGCCTTGCCTTCCTTGCTTTTCATCGGCCGTTCAGGTTTACGGTAATTTCCAGCGAGTTTCTTTGTTGTGTCATAAAGTTGTCTCATGTTTCCTTCTCTTGCGGCCTCTTCTGCGTCATTGCTAAATCTTCCACATGTTGACGTTTGTCGGTTCTGATGCTCACCTTCACTTGCTTGTTTACCTCTGTGTATTCAGCTTGTGCCTTGTCTTTTTTGCTCTTGTTCGTCTGGTAATGGTTGCTGCCTTCTTGTTCCTTCTTTATTGAATCTCATCCAGTGTATCAACAGTAGTCCATTCCTTTGTGGTGGTGATTCGTGTGGCCCAGGATCTCATGAGATGTTGAAGCGATTGCTTCTTTTATCTCTTTGCAGTTGTTATCCATGGCAGTTCGCTCTCCACTGAGTAGATCATGAAAGGCCTGGAACTTATTTCTGTGCGCTATCTTGAATTTGTTGAGTTTGTCAGTACCCTGGATCAAAGCCGTAGTAAAATTTTGTGATGTTGCCCACCCCGTTCCTAAGTTTACTGACCGTAGCTGCTACCTTGAGGCGGTGGTTGGGCTTGCTTATCTTGATGAGACAATCACAGAGGAATCAGTTTGACTAATATAGTGCCTGAATTATCAGCTTGAATAATACTTCGACGCCTAACCAAAGCTCGTGAAAAGCAGACTAGGGACCACATATTCACACTACGTCAGGTCTTTGAACATGAAAATACATTCAGACACCCCACAATAGTATTTCTCAAACTTAAGGAGGCATTTGACTCTGTTGATCGTGAGGTTCTATGGCAGAGATTGTCTCTGAAAGGAGTTTCGAAGAAGTACATTAACCATTTAAAGGCTCTCTACTCGAACACAACTGGTCGAGTGAGAGCTTATAACGAACTGTCACCAGAATTGATTACCTCAAGTGGTGTTCGTCAGGGCTGCCCACTCTTAATACATTCTTCTTTAACTTCATCTTAGACATGCTTACAGAAATATTACTCTCGTCAATTAGATTTCTAGGGGTTGAACGTTTACCAGGAGTTTCACTTGTTGACTTAGAATATGCTGATGACATAGTTCAATTTAGTGAAGACGCTGACAGAATGCAGAGTCTTCCGGCCACTATAAGCAACAATGCAGGCATGTTTGGCATGTGATTCTCTCCATCGAAATGCAAAATGTTGCTTCAGGATAGGGTTGCATTGACACCCGAGCCAATGATAGTGACTGAAGTAGTTGGGCGTGTCAACCACTTCACTTTACTTGGAAGTCTCACAAGCTCCTGTGGTCTAGTGTGTGACGAGATCGCATCACGTGTATAGAAGGCTCGACTGGCTTTTATTAACTTGCGTCATTCAGGGCTTAAGCGAGATATCACACTTCATGTCAGTGAATTATTGCCGGTAAGAAAGAAGGATATTCGTAGGTTACTAACAGTCGATCATATATGTCTTCAAAAGATATCCACGATATTTGAATTTAAATGTGCTAATCAAGAATACTATTAACCTGTCACATGACTAGTAATGTATGTCACTCAATAGTCTAAAAGTTCAACATTTTCTAACTATGTCTCATCTAACACCCACTGCCAACGACCAAATGTATCACACTCATTACTTACTTACTTGCTTACGTCTGTTTCTCCT